CTCCCATTTTCACCCCGTATACAGATTGCAGAATCACATCAGTTACACATCCACTGATTTACATGTTGCCATACTAGTGTCTGTTGTGCTCCGCTGCCTTTCCTATCCTCTACTATCCCCCCTCCCCTCCCCTCCCCTCCCCTCTTCTCTCTCTGCCCCCTCTACTGTCATTCATTTCTCCCCCTTGTATTATTTTTCCCTTTCCCCTCACTTCCTCTTGTATGTAATTTTGTATAACCCTGAGGGTCTCCTTCCATTTCCATGCAATTTCCCTTCTCTCTCCCTTTCCCTCCCACCTCTCATCCCTGTTTAATGTTAATCTTCTTCTCATGCTCTTCGACCCTACTCTGTTCCCAGTTACTCTCCTTATATCAAAGAAGACATTTGGCATTTGTTTTTTAGGGATTGGCTAGCTTCACTTAGCATAATCTGCTCTAATGCCATCCATTTCCCTGCAAATTCTATGATTTTGTCATTTTTTAATGCAGAGTAATACTCCATTGTGTATAAATGCCACATTTTTTTTTATCCATTCGTCTATTGAAGGGCATCTAGGTTGGTTCCACAGTCTTGCTATTGTGAATTGTGCTGCTATGAACATCAATGTAGCAGTGTCCCTGTAGCATGCTCTTTTCAGGTCTTTAGGGAATAGACCGAGAAGGGGAATAGCTGGGTCAAATGGTGGTTCCATTCCCAGCTTTCCAAGAAATCTCCATACTGCTTTCCAAATTGGCTGCACCAATTTGCAGTCCCACCAGCAATATACAAGTGTACCCTTTTCCCCACATCCTCGCCAGCACTTGTTGCTGTTTGACTTCATAATGGCTGCCAATCTTACTGGAGTGAGATGGTATCTTAGGGTGGTTTTGATTTGCATTTCTCTGACTGCTAGAGATGGTGAGCATTTTTTCATGTACTTGTCGATTGATTGTATGTCCTCCTCTGAGAAGTGTCTGTTCAGGTCCTTGGCCCATTTGTTGATTGGGTTATTTGTTATCTTATTGGTTTTATATGTAAGGCTTCTGCCTACATTTCACTTTGAAAAAGACGCTCACTTTCTAAACAGAAGACTCTGAAGTGGTGTGTTCCAGGGAGGTAAATTATGTAGCCAATGTAACTTAGGTTCTGTCCTCAGCTGCATTGCCAGGCTGTGTCTGCTCTCTCCGTGGCTCCAAGGTGTTTGAACTCCCATCTCAGGCTGTGCACAAGCCCCAGGCTAGTTACAAACTGTGGAAAGCAGCATAGATGTAATGAGCTGATTTTGCTGCCGCCCTGCAGAGAAGACACGTCTAATTCTGATCTTGCAGATGAAACTCTGGATGACGGAAAGCTAAATTGTGTGTCTCCAAGCTAAAATCAAGGTGTCAGCAGGGCTGGTTCCTCTAGAGGCTCCGGCTGGGATCTGTTCCCTGACCTTCCAGGTCTGGCTGCCCATTCCAAACTGCAGCCATGGTCCCATGGCTCTTTCCTCTTCTGTGAAAGCATTTCCCATCTTATAAGGACACTTGTTCTTACAAAATTGGGCCTACCTGGTAGTCTCCCTGTTTCAAGACCCTTAATCACATCTTCAGTGTCCTTTTGACCTATGTATGACACAGGCCATTCTTGAGCCTACCACACCAAACAATCTGCAGATTGGGCAGAGTTCAGATGAATCCAACCCTGAGTCTTTTTTTTTTTTTATTTTTTTAGTTTTCGGCAGACACAACATCTTTGTTGGTATGTGGTGCTGAGGATCGAACCCGGGCCGCACGCATGCCAGACGAGCGCGCTACTGCTTGAGCCACATCCCCAGCCCCCAACCCTGAGTCTTGACTGAGGCTGGAGGGGGCCCATGTCCTCCGAGAGGATGGGAGGTGAGGTTTTCTGGAATCCTCTATTCACAAACGGATGCAGAATGACACTCTGGACCTCTGACAATTTGATAGAATTCTCCAAGTGTCCTGATTCTGGAAAACTTCATCCTTCAAAGCTGGAGCTTGGAGAAGGGAGTGTGCAGTGTCCTGGGCTGGAGGGTATCCCAGGGAGCTGACTCTGACCGGAAAGAGCTGGGTGCTCTCTGCCTGAGGCCCTGGGCCTGAGTCCTGGACATGACTCAGGATGGAGAGATGGAGACCTGGGTTGCTCTTCACTTTGCACCCTGCTGGGAGGCCCCTCGGCATTCACGTTCTCCACTGTGACAGCAATGCAATGCAGAAAGTCTCAATGATTTTGTTTAACTTTATTGTTCATTCTTTAAGAAATACTGTTTATTTTGAACAATAATCCCAGTACAGAGAAGGACATTTGGATAATTCAGAAATTCACAGTCAGCTAGAATCCTGCTGCCCAGCCACCTACAGTTCAAAGGCAATGCCTGTTTCCTAGGCAGTAGCATGTACACATACCCAGACTGTTCTGTAAGGATGAGCTGTTTCTGCAGTAGTCATCCAGTTGCCATCATGGACAAACATGTAGATCACTAAGCAGGTAACACACCTCCAAGCACACGCAATGTGGTGCTTCTCACACCTCCCTCTCCTTAGTCTCAGGTCTCTGTGGAATTGGAGCTGCCCATATTCCTCCGGTGGAAGCCAGGCATGGTGAGCAGTGCTGGCAAAGGAGCAGTCACGTCAACAGCAGATTCTGCTGTGGTTTCTGGAGTTTATGACTTCTCTCTAATTGGGACACCCGATGACCCTCTTCTTTGGGAAGACATTCCCTCTTTTAGAATATCACAATCCAGGATTTCTCCTGGTCTGGCCTTTTCTTCTTTTGTCTATTGCTGGTTTCGTTTCTTTTCTTTTTAATATTTATTTTTTAGTTGTAGTTGGACACAATACCTTTATTTTATTTATTTATTTTTATGTGATGCTGAGGATCGAACCCAGAGCCTCGTGCGTGCTAGGCGAGCGCTCCATTGCTGAGCCCCAGCCCCAGCCCCATGTTGCTGGTTTCTTTAGCAGTTCTCCCCAACTGATGAACATTTGAGGCCCCAGGGCTCACTCTGGGTTCCTCTCTAGTTCTGTCCCTGGGAGATCGGATTTGTATTTTTGTTTCCCACGTACAAATCTCTGGTCTACATGTTTTCTGTGAACATGAGGCTCCCACATCCAGCCGCCCACTTGGCATGTCTGGTCTGCTGGCTCATGGGCATATCAGAAGTGCCACCTTCTCCTCTGATTTTGTCCCCCCTGTGCATTCTCAGTGAACAATGCCCACACTCACCCAGTGGGTGAAGCCAGGGCCTCGAGCATCAGCTTTCAACCTTCCTCTCTTTGTTCCTCTGAGGGTGTGTCCAGAACAGTCTAGCATTTGAATTAATAGAACAAGTAAAGCAGAGGTTTCTCCCCCTATAGATGGCATCATCCAATCTAAGGAGGACCTGAGTAGAACAGAGAGGGGAGGAAGGCTGAAGTCTCTCTCTCTCTCTCTCTCTGACTGCCTGAGCTGGAAATCAGTCTTCTGGGTTTAGTGCTCCTGATCTTCAGGTCTTCAGAGTCAGACTGGAAACTCCAGCATCAGCTCTCTGGCTCAGGTCTCCAGCTTGCAGATTGCAGATAGTGAGACTCAGCCTCCCTAATCACATAAACCAGTGCCTTCCAGTCTCAGTCTCTCTCTCTCTCTCTCCCCCACCCCCATCTTCTTCTGTAGAATCTGACTAATACGGAAAGTTTTCAATAGACTTGATTGGCCTGGAATATATGGTATCATTGCTGCCCTCATCCCTTGGCTATTGCTCAGTCACATGGCCACATACTCACAAGGCAGGCTGGGAAATATAGCCTGGTTACCCTCACCAGGACATTGGGGAGAGTGTGGTGATCATGTGGTCAGTCTATTGTACAAGGTGTTACATCTGTGGGCCAAGCATCTCCAACAGTGCCAGGCCTGGAGTTGGCAATGTTGAAATGCTGTTGATTGAATGAATGACGGCTTAACCTACCCAAATCTTTCCTGAACATCTATATTGGAAGAGATTTTTTTTTTCCCCCTGAGTTTCAGTAGCACTTTTAAAAAAACGTTATTTTGTACTAAAAAAACCATGGGAAGGTGACCTGTAATAGCAGAGCAACAGTCCGAGCTCTGCCATGAGACCCAGGCAAACCTTGGAAAAGTTGCTTCACTGCCCAGGGCCTCAGTGTCTGCACCTGCCCACAGGGTCTCCTGGCTTGTGGAGATGCTGCTGATGACAATCCTTCAACAAAGGTGATTTCTACTGGAAATTGGAAGCTCCCTGACAAGCCTTTTGGTACACAGCCTTGAGCTCAAGCAGAGGCTCCACATTCAGGAAAACAAAACAAAAACACAGGGTTGCACATCGCACAGAGCATCGTATAGTGAAAAATTTGTCGTTTATCTGAAATCCCCATCTCACTGGGCACCCTGCATTTTACCTGGCAACCGTATCTGTGGAATCCTCCAGTCCCCTTTGTGGCTTGTAGGACTGCCCTGTCTCCTGATTGGTTTGGCAAACTGACCTCCCCTGACGTGTGGACTGCTGGGGAAGTGCCCCTCCCTCCTCACCCAGCGCAAGTGTACTGCTCCCTGAGTGACTTGAGCATTCCTACGCGAGGTTCCTATTTCCACCCCAGTGGCTGGCTGGGCAGGCCACTGTCCTTCTGCCTGCCCTGCTCTGTGGGTCACTTTACTCTCCATTCTTGAGTAGAAGGGACCTTCCTGTCATCCCATTCATCTTTCATTCCACCTGACCAAAATTACTCAGCTAAGTCCCTACTGATTGTATTTGAGTCTCCTTTATTAAAATTGGGGTCGACCTTAACATCTGTGAGCCATGTTGTGATTTAATTAAGATACACTTGATTTGGTCCACAACCACTTCCAAATTTTAATTAAATTGGGTATATATTACTCTGAATTATTTTACAAGAACCCATGTATTTGATAAGAAATGTAATTATCTGTGTTTGAAATGCTATAGTTTTATACTTTGAAATCCTGATTTTAAAATAGAAGTCATTTAAAGTCAACTCTTGCTTAAATAAGCCTGAATGAGGCCATTTCTGATTTTAATTTTAATGAATCTTCCATCATTGGAAAATATTCATCGTTCATTTGTTCAATGGACATGGAGGTTCTGTTAAGTGGCAGGCACTGTGACAGTCACCAGGGTAGAAGCTCAGATCTGCAGACTCCTAAGAAAAAAATTGTCTTGTTGAGTTAGCTGACCACTTGAGTGTGTGGGGGGTTTCTTTTTATTATTCATTTACACATTCAACTCCACTGGTTTCCAGAGAAAGATTTGAATAAAGGGTTTCTCGGCTGTCTCACTCAGGAGGAGAGACATCTCGTTTCCATTCTTTGTTGTTATTACTTTTTGGAGTGGAGACTCCAAGGGGAGGCTTGGCAGGTTGCGTGTGGAAGGCGTGTTGTGCACGTGCGGTGTCTCCCTGGGTGCATTCTGGAGATGAGAATGGGAGGCAATAATTAGGGTTGGATCCTAGGGCAGGATCAAATCTGCAAGAACTGGGGGTCTTGCAGGGAAAGGAAGGTGTCCCCATCTCTCCGTGCACTGCAGAGGGCCATCTGCCAGCCAGGAAGAGAGCCCTCTCCAGACCCCTGCTCTGCTGGCACTCCTATCCGGACCTTCAGCCTCCAGAGCTATGGGAAAACCAATTTCTGTGGTCCCCAGCCTATGGTATTTTGTTCTAGCAATTGAGCTGACACAGATGGTGCAACTGGGTCTAACCTTGCAGCACAGGTGAGTGTCACCTGTGCCTGCTACTTACTACACCCTTGTGCTGTGGCCCTGGATGGTGGGTAGCTCTGTCTCCATAGCAGTTTTGTCCTCATTTGTGACGGCTCCAGGAAGTCAGCCCCTTGCTCCTGGGAAGAGCTTGCATTTTATCATCAGGTGTGTGGCATAGCCTTTGACTGTGGAGCACAGCCAATTGGCCTGTCCTTGGATTGACTCATGACCTTGACCCATTACCACTGCATCTTGACTGATTGAACTTCTCAGCCTAGACCCCTGTGATTTACAACCTTGAGCTCTCCACGGAAAGATAAATGCAGGGTTTGGCTTCCCAGGTCCTAGGGCTTGCTTCCATTCTGCCAGGGGAAAATTTTCCATTAAAAGTGGTATTAATCCTTTCCCTTTTTTGTGTCCCATTGAGTCTCATATGTCAACAGATTTTAGAACATTAAAAAAAAACTCAGGTTCAGCTTAATATTTTATGTGACTTTTACACTGCGGAGCCGTGTCCAGCCTAAAAGTGTGATTCCCGTCTCTCCCTCTGAGCCCTTCCTCTGCTCCTCTTTGATGCACTAAAAATGCTTTCTGTGGATCAATGGAGAGTGCCAGGCCTCCAGACACAGAGCCGTGACAGAAAATCAATGTGTGGTGTGGACAGTTGAGGAGAACCTTAAATAATGTCTTAAAAAAGAGTCTGTACTCCTCAGGCCCCTCCCGGTGCCCGTGGAGACAGCTTGCAGAGGTCACACCTGAGCATGCCCGGTCCTTCTCTGTGTGCAGAGCTTCAGTGAAGCCAGCACATGGAAATGACAGCATTTGGCGTCACAGATTATTCTAGCACTCTCTTCCCCTCTCTCATCCCTTTTGCAAGAATGTTTAAAAAAGACTTAATCCGGCACTCGATGAAGACATGCTGAGAGACCTACTATGTGCATCTTAGTTTCTTTCTGAAAGGAACGCTTAGGAACTTTTGCTTGCCAGCATCACTTGGTGGCAAACAAAGACAATGGGAGCATCCCCCGGTGAGGACCGTTTACTAGCTTCTTGTTACAACATAATGCATGACGATATCGCCTTCTGTGAAAGGCTCTATTGTGGGGCTACAAGCCAAATATGTGCAGTTCCCTAGATCCTCTAAGATGCATGTGTCACCATGATGTTGGTTTTTACCAGGCACCTCTGAGTCCTGTTGCCAGCTTTGGACTTCTCTTGGTGGGGTGCTCTTTGGGGAAGACACCGTACGGCTTCTCTGGAACAAAATACACGATAAAGAATATTTTTGGAATGAGAGAGAGATGAGCAGGTCTTGGAGGGCATGGTTTTCGTGATCATTTATGTAGCTGTATTTGTTAAAACCATGACACCAGTATCACCACCAGCAACTGTAAGACAGGGCATTAATGTGATGCGGACGCCCAATGACTGATTCCCTGTGCTTGACAGCTGTTGAACGGTGGTGTCAGCTGCCTTTGGTGGGCAGTAGTGTGTCACCACTTTTCAGTGCCTATTTAGAAGGTGACAGAGGAGTGGGTGAGCAGAGCTGGGCAGAGGCATGAACATCTGCCACAGGTAGAAGGAAGGGTAGGTGACAAGGAGACAGGGCCATGGGAAAAGGTCCCTTGTTGTTAGAAGTCATGGACAAGAGCCACGTGCTGTGAAGAAATATTTACCCAGGTGAAAACCAGTCCTCATCAGCAAACCCTCCTGGCTTACAGCAATTCAGGGAAAGAAGAACCTCAGGTCATGCAGGACACTAGGCCAGTTCCAGGACACCACAGCCTGATTTACCCTTCAGAGCTGCGCTGATCAGCATGGCTTCCGAGCACCTGAGGTGCGGCCGGTGGGAATTATGTAGACTACTGGCTGGATTTCAAAGACTTAGTAAGAAAAAAATACCAAACATGTCAATAACTTTAAAAAGTTGATTGTATGTTGGAATGATAACATTTTAGATACATTGAATTAATAAAGTACATCATTAATACAAATTCCACCAGTTTCTCTTTTTAAAATATGGGTCCTAGAAAAGCTAAATAATATATATGTATATTTCATATTATATCTCCATTGGGATTGTTCTAGAGTTATAGAAGTAGAATAAGAGGAGTCTCTCTTACGCATGATCATACTTTAAAACACTTTAAGTTTTCTACTTTTAAAGATAAATAACCTCAAAGTACTTTTAAAGATAAATAACCAATTCCTCAAAGTACTCTTCAGATGACTTGGTTTCAGTGGACTCACCAAGTAGGTCACACAGTGGATCCCATTTGTCAATGTCTCTCTTCCTGGAAATGTGATACTGGATGGTGGAATGGCCCAGTGAGGAAGGGGGCCAAGGGGGGCAGACAGTAGACAGTCTGGAATTCACATGATGCAGCCCGAGGTTGCTACCTGCCTGCCACTGAGGGTTCAGAAGTTCTCCAAGACCACTTCACTTGTGAGGTGGGTGAGGAACTGCCCTGGATTCCACCTTCCAGCACCTTTTAGCCATAAGAAGGCTCTTGGTGGTGGTGGGGTGGGGGATGGAATCAGGAATCCCTGCCCCCTTCCTCACACCTTCCTCCCTCCCTCTGGGGTCCTCCTCTTCCCTTGTTCTCACAGTGCTGTGACTCATAGGTGGGATGGGCCTCTCTCCTACCTGCTCTTCTTGGGACAGTTGACTGGGGTGAAGCTTTGCCTTGGTTATAAGACCAAGATTTTCATTCCTGACAACAAACTTTTGGAACTTGAAGTTAAAGTGCCTCCAAATTGTGCAAGGTGGTTCCATCTTCTCTGCTCTCTGGGCGTCCGATTGTATAACAGTCTTACTCAAGCAATCTACCCACCTGGACTCTCGATAAGCCAAGCTTGTTCTTCCGGAGACTTCGGTGGGTTTTAGAAGTAGGGACGATCTGGCCTGTCAAATGGTTCAGAGCCCCTGTGCTTGTCTCCTCGAGGGGGCTGGGAGGAGGGCCTGGGGCAGGAGTACATTAGCCCCAGCCCCCTCACAACTCCCTCCAACACCCTCTGCTTGGACTGAGTCCTAGGAAGAGAGGAAAAGGTGACAGCTGGCTATCAAGGAGGCCAACCCATGCAGTCTGCTACAGGGCAGTCCTGGAGCCCTGCGCGCTGGGGTATCTGTTTAACCCTGGGAATTATTTACCAAAGTTTGGCTACAAAACTGAAAAGTTTCATTTGGCCAACTGAAAGTTAAAAAAAAAAAAGTTTGTGTCTTCATCACTTTAGGAAGATAACACTAAACTCTTCTAGCCTTTGTTTAGAGATAAACCTCCAAATCTGCTTGACCCGTGCTTTTCATGATACCCCAAGCAAATGACATTCTAATGCTTTATGAGTCATCAAACTCTGATAAATAGCCTGCTGGTTTAGTTCCCACACCTGAGTGTCTGCAAGGTACTTCTATTTGGAGAACCACTTTGGGGTTCCTCCTCCCTTTTGCCTTCTTCCTCCCCGGGGCCAGAGTGTTTGGGATGCAGGCTCCCTGGAGGGTGCTTCTCGCCTGGCGGCTGACACCTTAACACACCACGCATGCAGGCATGTTGCAGAAGGCCTTAAGAGGCCTCTTGGTGAAAGGTGCTTTGTAAAAAATAATGCTACATAAGTGGAAGATCATTATTACTAGATTAGCTTCTCTCTCCCAGACTAATTATTTCAGTCTTCCAGGATGAACTGCATTTGCCATCTGCTGGCCCAATTACCTAAGTGATTCAAGCTCCTTTAAGCCTGGCCACACTCCCCCTGCTTCTTCCCAGCTCTCATCTTAGAGTGTGGGCAGAATTCAGAGCCCCACGTTCAGATCCTTGTCAGAGCCACTGAGCTTTACCATGCGTGGCAGCGCTCTGCAGAGGAGCCCTGTGGCCCCGGTTACCTTGAACTTGAAGGCAGAAGCAGGCTTGCTTCAGTTTTCTAATTTAGCACTGGACTTATTTTCATTATGGACTATTTTGTTCTGTATCATCTCTCTCTTAAAACTTTACATGGAGTCTTTAAAAAAAAATCAAAGAAAGCTGTACTATGTAGCTGGTTTCCTTTACATTTTTTATCAACTGAGTGGAAGATGAACAATTTCAGGTTTCTTGGCCATACTGTGTAAAAAATTAACTGTAAGGAACTTAGTTGAGGATGACCTCTTTCACATCTGACCTCTTTTTGCTTCTGCAAGTTTTGCATGTTATTTGCCTAACTAGTCTTTAAAATAGTTTTATTTCCAAATTAGTCCTCTAACAGGAATTTTAATTGGTATTCTAAATTCCCAGGAGTTGCTTGATTCTCTGGTTTGTAGTATTTGTATTATTTAAATGAATCTGGGTAAGGCTGAAATTGGACACTGAAGCCAAGAATCGTGGTGTGACCACAGGAATTCCCACTGTTGATGTATGGAGGAAGCAGACCCAAGTGGGCACCAAGTGCTTCCGCGTTGGGTTTTCAATTAACTCATTTTGGATATTGCTGTAGCTGGGGCCTCTCCTTGCTGTTGTTTCTTTACTCTGCCTTTCTGATTAATATGAAACAGGGATTCAATTAATGTCAGTAAATATACCTGAAGACTCCATTCTATATTCCAGTAATAAATAGGCTTAGTAAATAGTGGATGATACAAAAAAAAAATCCCATTTCATGTTCTATTCCCATAGTCAAATAACAGTGGGAACCTAAAATTCAATTTCATGATTGTTTGGTGAATTATTGCCCAAACAGTAATTATAGCAGCAAATCTGAGAATGAAGAGATCACTTTTTCTTGTTGGCGGGGTGGGGAGGGGTACTGGGAATTGAACTCAGGGGCATTTGACCACTGAGCCACATCCCCAGCCCTATTTTGTATTTTATTTAGAGACAGGGTCTCACTGAGTTGCTTAGCACCTCACTTTTACTGAGGCTGGCTTTGAACTCACATCCTCCTGTCTCAGCCTCCTCAGCCACTGGGATTATAGGAGTGTGCCATTGTACTTGGTAAGATCACTTCTAAAAAATTAGTTTTTCAAAGTAATAGTGTATTTTTTATCATTCTTTATGTCACAGACATATGTACTCATTATAAACAGTATGTAAAAATTCTAAGAAGGATGAACCAAAACTTACCTATAATCTCTGGATACAGTTAACTGCTATTCATTACCCTAGATTAGGTAGAGAGAAGTGATGGGAGGAGAGGGGAGGGGTTGGGGAGATAGGAAGGATAGTAGAATGAAACAGACATTATTATTACTGTGTATATATATGTGAATGCATGATCAATGTGATTCTGTAACCTGTACACTCAGAAAAATGAGATATTATATCCCATCTGATTCAAATGTATGGAATGTCAAGGTCATTGTACTGTCATGTGTAACTAATTAAAACAAACAAACAAAAAAAAGAGTTAACTGCCAATAGCATTTTGCAACACAGTTTTGTCATAGTCCATTTTCTGTTGCTATAGACATGGATAAGGGGCAGCAAGAACAACACAGACAGCCCACCGCAAACTAGATCCACAACATGGTAACATTTTAACCAGATGAGATTCTACTTTACATACTGTCTCAGGTCTCTCTGGAGTGTGTATGTGAAATCCTTACAAACTTTCCTAATAACAAGTTATCTGTTTCCTCTTTTTTTTTTTTAGAAAAGTTCCTCACTCAACATCCTGTTAGCTGTTTCTCTGTTTTAACTAGTTCTCATGATTGAGCACAACCTGATGTAAGACGGGTGCTTGTTTGTTTCTCTGACAAGCTCTAGGAGGAGGCAAGAGCTTCATATAGAAGCATAGGATAGACGACTTTTTAAAACTGTTTTCTCCAAAGATTATTATATCTCACAGAGCAGTACATGCTTTTATAAAAAATTTATTTATTCTAATTAGTTATACATGACAGTAGCATGCACTTTGACACATCATACATAATGGAGTTTAACTTCTCATTCTCTGGTTGTACATGATGTAGAGTCACACTGGTCATGTAGTCATATATGCACATAGGGTAATAATGTCTGATTTATTCGATTATTCTTCCTACCCCCCCTTCCCTTTCCCCTTCCCCTTCCTCTGTCTAATCCAAAGTAACTCTATTCTTCCCTAGCCCCCACCTTATTGTGAGTTAGCATTTGCAAGTCAGAGAAAATATTAAGCCTTTAGTTCTTTGGGATTGGCTTATTTCACTTAGCATGATATTCTCCAACTCCATCCATTTACTGGCAAATGCCATAATTTCCCCCCCCCCCCCATGGTCACCACCAATTTTTAGATTCATTCTTCTTCTTACAATGTATTCCTTATTTCTGTATTCAAATTCTTTTTTTGTTCTAATTAGTTACACATGACAGCAGAATGCATTTTAACTCACTGTATACAAATGGAGCACAGCTGCTCATTTCTCTGACTGTACACGATGCAGAGTCACATGGTTTGTGCAAACATATGTATGTGCATAGGGTAATAATGTCCATCTCATCCCCCCATTCTACCTACCCCCACACCCTCTCCCCTCAGCCCATTCCAAAGTTCCTCAATTCTTCCCCAGCCCCTCCACGCTTATTGTAAATTAGCATGCACACATCAGAGAAAATGTTCAGCCTTTGGTTCTTTGGGTGTGGCTTATTTTTCTTAGCATGATATTCTCCAGCTCCATTCATTTAACAGCAAATGCCATAATTCCATTTTTTTAAGGCTGAGTAATATTCCATTGTATGTATATACCACATTTTCTTTATCCATTCATCTGTTGAAGGGCACCTAGGTTGGTTCCATAGTTTAGCTATTGTGAATTGAGCTGCTATAAACATTGATGTGGCTGCATCACTATAGTATGATGATTTAAAATCCTTTTAATATAAACCAAGGAGTGAAATAACTGGGTCAATTGATAGTTCATTCTAAGTTTTCTGAGGAATCTCTATGCCAGAGCAGAAAATGTTGAACAAAGTCAAGGTGTGATTTTGAAGGAGAGATTTAAACTGGGTTTATTCTAATAATTTAAGTCAGTTATCATTGTCTGTCCCCTGCCTGTAGCCATCCAGTGTGCTCTGAGCCTGAGGGTAGGTGGGGGGCTCAAGGGCAGCCTCAGGAGTGAAAACAAGGTTTGAGAAGGGTATGACTCAGCTGTCAGGGACAATGGGATCCTAGCAGCAGAAAACCTGGGACGAGGTTGAGGAGACAAAGGCACAGAGTCCAGCCTCACTCCTGGACGGTGGGGTCCAAGCCGCCGCCTGGCTCCGTTTTCTCCAGTGGCACTGCTTTTATCCCTGCAGTCACAGGTCGGCAGAGGCCACTGCCTGGAAGCTTGGTGGGCGCATCAGCATTAGGACTCTTCTCTGAGGAAGCAGACCTCCAACCTGCCAGGCACCTTGTGGTGTGTGCTAGATGGGAGACAAATGCACTCTTTCTGGGCACAAGGAAACTCCACTGAGTTCTCTGGGATCTTTTATGGAAAAGGGCCAAAATAAATATTTTTTCCTTCTTAAATCTTCCATCCTTGGGCTGTTTCCACCAATGGATTTCAGGATGGGGTCCCTGCTATGCAGCTGCTATGGTTTAGATAAGAGGCATCCCCCAAAAGTCATGTGAAACAATGCAAGAACTCTCAGATTCAGAGGTGAAACAGTTACATTATGAGAGTCGTAAACTAGCTGGCGGATTAATCCATTGTTGTGGATTAGCTGTAGGCAGAGGATGTGGATAGGAGAGGTGGGTCACTGGGGTGAGACTCAGAGGGTTTTCTTTTGTCCACAGTGAGCAGTGCTCTCTCTGCTTCCTCATGCCATGTCCTGGTCTGCTTCCTCCTCCAAGCCCTTCTGCCATGATGCTCTGTCTCACCTTGGGCCCAGAGCTATGGAGTTGGCTGACTGTGGACTAAAAAGTAAACTTCCTCCCCTGCATGGTTCTCCTGAGGTCACTGGTCACAGTGACGAATAAGCTGATTATAAAAACCAGCAGCTTTGAAAGCAGCAAATTCCCCACAATGACTGAAGCTCCTCAGAGATATTTAGGCCAAGCTGGACACCAGTGAGCACTTTCTGGCTTCAGAAAGTCCAGCAATATACTACATGGCTCTAAATGAAGATAAAGACAAATGGGAAAGGCTCGGAAGGCCTGTGCAGATGGAGGGTGATGTGCAGAGAGGGATCTTTCATTGGCATTTAATTTCAGTTCACCCAGGCACTTTGGCATCAGGACTTCTTGCTCGTGGCCCTGGTGTGGTGGTGGGGATGCTGTTGGTAATCAGAAGGGGATGCACCTGACTCTGGACCTGTGGCCTTTGTTTGGGTCTGGGGACATGGAGGTCTGGAGAGAATGTCCTATGAAGGTGAGGTGGGTCTTTACATAGGAACCTTGGAGAGCCAGACGACTTCTTCAGGGTTCTGGGACCAGAGTTATCATCTCCAAATAGAATTCCTTTATGGTGAGTGGGAAAACGAACCACGTAGACTGAGCCTCTCAGCCAGTTGTGCCCTGGTGGAGTGTGTGCTGGGCTGGATGGATGGTGTGCTGCATTCTTCAGCCATCATCAGCAGAAGACCATTGTCACCTGGCTCAACAGGAGAGACAGATTCACACGTGGCCAGACCACGTAGAAAAACAGAACTAACCCCCAGCCTGCAGCAGTCCACCCAGGGAATCAGCCTGCTCTCTAAGTCAGACCTGTTGACAGCCAGACCACTGTCTCCAGGGACAAATCAGGAAGCCAAACAAGAGCTGCTGTAGCAACGGATCTCAAATGCCCATCCTCCCACTTCCAACTTTGGATCAGCCGGAGAAAGCCAACGTGTTCCCATAAGCAGTCACGTGGACGCCTGGCTTCTAGTTGGCCCCTTCATCTTGCTCATCTCAACAGGGTGCACCTGGAGCCTTCTACTTCCTCCATGGTAATGCCTTCCCACCCCTCTTGTCTTTGAGTCTTTCTGAATATCAAGTGGTGGTGGCAGACTCCCTAACTGAAATGAGCTCAGAAGCCAACTCTTGGCTTGTCCTCATTGGTCGGTCTTTGTTTATCTCCTCAGAAGGACTGAGCCTCCTCCTTCCTACCATGCAGGGCAGGTTGGGCAGCTGGGGTGGGGCTGAGATGGACAGGGGAAGCTGGTGGGTGGTGTGGGAGACCAGGCAGGACCCTGGCTCTCCCATCACAGACAGCAACTGTTGAAAGGTCCCAGTGGCCCTCTGTAGCTAAAACAGGGACTCACAAAGTTTTCTTTAAAGAGGCAGATGGTGAACATTTTAGGCTTTGTGGTCTGGGCAGTCTTTCTTGCAACCATTCAACTCGGCTGTAGTGCAAAAAAAAATCATCTGTGAGGCAATACCTAGAAGACCGAGTGTGGCTGCATTCCAGTAAAAACTTTGCAAAACCAGGGGGTGGGCCAGATCTGGAACACGGGCCACAGTTAGCCAGCCTCTGGGTAAAGCACAAACTCCAGCCTGCCGTGAAGGACCCTTTCTCTGAGTTCCCCCACCTTCCCAGGTTTATGTCCTCCTGTGTGTCACGGAGCACATGGCTCCAAGTTCATTCCTGCATGTCTGCATGTCAGCTTCCTTTCAGGTGAGCCCTCTGCTGCAGTTTGCATGTGTCCTCCAAAGTCTAGGTGTTGGAAACTTAATTCCCAACACAACAGTCTTGGGAGTGCTCATGAGGGCTCTGTTCTCTTGAATAGATTAATGTTATCAGAAAACCATTTCATTGTACGAGGGTTTCTTACAAAAGCAAGTTTGATGTCTTGCTCTCTCTCCCTTCTGCCATGGGATGATGACAAGAAGGCCCTTTCCAGATGCTGGCTCCTTGATGTGGGACTTCCCATTCCTCCATAACTAGAAAAAGTAAATTTATATGTTTAAAAAAATTACCCAGACTCAGGGATTCTGGCTTAGAAACACCAAACAGACCAAGACCCCATCCCAGCCAGACTTTTCTTAGCACCAAGGAGTAAAACAAAGTTCACACCATGCTGTTCCATCTGCTCAGATGGAAGGAGATTACTTTTTGTTCACTGTTTCAATTTCCAAAGTACATACTCTTTCCTTTTTCTTATCAAAAGAGTTAGGAGCAGGTGACCTGGCAGTAGCAGCTGCTTAGAAGGGCTGACAGGGGAGCAGGACAGCCCGGCATGGTGCACTATGTCCCCAGTGCTGGAGTCCTGGTCCAAGAAACCAGCCAAAGACACCATTCCACAGAAAGGAAAATCAATAAGTAATTTCTTTCCCGCATGTAGCTCCATGGGTGACAAGGACAATACGTACCCACTCACGACTGTGAGGGAGTGTGCCTTGAGTGAAAGGCAGTATACTACATGGCTCTAAATGAAGATAAAGACAAATGGGAGAGGCTAGGAAGGCTCGTGCAGATGGAGGGTGATGTGCAGAGAGGGATTTTTCATTGGCATTTAATTTCAGTTCACCCAGGCACTTTGGCATCAGGACTTCTTGCTGGTGGAGCTATAATTCCATTTACAGATTGACAACACAGAGTATTTTTCAGGCCGAAGGGTGAGTCTTGAATCTCTTGAATGTGAATCTATCCCATGGCCTCCCCATCTTTCCTGGTTTGAGAGTACTCTACAGAAATTGCAAGTAAGTGATGAAATGTGAGTGCAGGGGGGAAGAGAATTCCTCCTGTGTTTCTGAAATGGAGCATGCCACAGCGTGATCTATCTTTTTTTTTTTCTCTCTCTCTCTCTCTTTTTTGCTTCCATAGCATTGATACTTAAATGGAGTTGATTCAGCTGAGGTTGAGGAAACAGTAGCAATATCAAGTTAAAGTAGCTCAGTGCTTTTTGGTTGATACATGCTTATTTCTTTGTTTGATACTTATTTCAAAATAAGGATCATAGACAGAGCTCTAGTCTGTTCTTACAGGAGTGGAAACTGTTTAGTCCTAAAACAGGTCCAATTCTTTGACTTGTGGATAAATGAAACTGAGTACCTCAAACATTTTTGACAGTAGTAGACATCATTCTTCCTATAGGAAATCTAGGAAACTCTTTGTCTTTCTGACC